CAGTAGCATGGCAACTTTTAGTCCTCTCTCCAGTTCCAGTGTTAAGAGGAAGACTGGAGATTGTTTTGCCACTGCATTAGAAAAGCACTCCAGAGGAACAAATTAATCAACCCCCTCAACTCTTCCCAACTCTGTAGTTGGAGAAGTGGAGGAGGCTTCTGCAGGCAGTGCCTTGCCAGGACATCTTGGAGCTGGGAAGGGGAGTGAAAGATTGTCCTTGACCTTGCACAGAGAAGCAGCCCAAGAAGCAAATAGAGGGCAGGTTTCTGGCAACCACAGTTTTTGGCTTAGTTATCAAGTCCAGGCAAAAAAAGTGGACCTCTACTCTAAAACCATTATTTGCCAGTCTCAAGTGGAGCATATTAGGCAGGTGTAGTCCGAGTCCTCGCAAGCAACGCTGCACATATCTCAGCAGCTGTATACTCAAAACACAGGCATATTTGTACAGTGGGGGAATCAAACACTAGAGAAGCACTGTAGTTTCAACCACTCACCAAAGTCCACAATACAGTAACTTTGCTTTCAAGTTTTTGCGTCTTTCACAAAGATTTTCCCCACTTTCCCCTAAATCATTCCCCTTTCACTTATATTACACATGTGAGACATCTAAATCAGAGGTACCAAGGAAGAAATCAAGAGTGGGACAAACTTTCATAGGATGAAATTAAAGAACCAGGATGTCAAGCACCAATTTCATATCCATCATGTTTGCAACAGCACTCTGTGTGTGTGTGTGAGAGAGAGGGGGGGAAAAGGGGGAATATGAATGAGCTGGCACCCACTTTTCTTGTTTCTCTTCCACCAGAGTGGAGAGGTTTGGGGAAAACCACATCCTTACTTATTATGTAATTGGGGAGCTGAGGTCTTAAAACATCTGGTTTTCCTCATTTCAGAGGGAAAGAGAGTTTGATCATTTGATTTGGACAACCAAAGAAGGGGAAACTGGCTCATGCATAAAGGAAGGCCTTCTACACACCTCCATGTACTCACAACTTGGGTGTTTGCTTTAAAAACTGGGGTCCCTCTGAAGAACAACTAACATCAGGTCTGCTGCGCATCACCAACTAGCCTGCCACCCTCTGGATTGGTTGTCTCTATCCTTATTACCACATAATTGTACAAAAACTTTCCAACTGGCTGAGTTGGGCATTAACTAACATAAGAAGGGGAAATGTCATAAGGATTTCTCCGCCTGATGGGCCAAAATGTCTTCAGCCAGCCCTGACTGAGGCAGCAGCACCAGCAGCAGCAAGCAATGCTCCTGAGGCATGAAAAGTGACTGGTTAAAATGCTGCTGCGACTTACTGAGGTGCTAACGTGTCACAGCCTAATTCTTAAGCATGAGGACTTTACTCAAAAGAATGTTTAAGAGGGACAACCATCTGCACTCACGACCTCCCTCCCCTCCCCTGAGGAGAGCCAGCCTGTCAGCAGTACTGTAAGAGGCTTTGTATTCCTCTGCTTCTCCCGATACAGGTGAGAGAAGTTCAGGCCTGGCCTCTGGTGCCCAGCTCCACTTGAACCTGTTCATAAATCAAGGCAAAGCTGCAGACAGTTAAGTTAAGCAGACAGAGAGATTATGCTCCTGTCAGAAAATCTACATCCCTGTGTCTTCATCCCAAGACCCACAGTGCATATCCTCCTCACATCACTGCTGTCAACATTATCCCGCCAATAAATTAGAAAAGCACTCCAGGTGACGGATGGGCTTGGGTAGAAAAGTAATAACTATTGAGGAAAAGCCAGCACCGGCTGCCACTCACGGTGAAAAGCCCTGAATTTACTGACTTCTGCAAGGCCTTCACAGAATAAATGGAGAAATCAATAGCGGATTACAGAAATACACATTTTTAATTATTAAAAAGCTCAGGTATCGATCTGATTTCTTTAGAGAAGTAAATACCATTACTAAGATTTATAAACACCCAGGTATTTGCCCTGTTTGAAGCCTGCCAGGAATTTTGATGCATTTGTGGAGGGAGAAATGGGAGGAACCTTTGGCTTGCTTTCTGTGAATGGAGGCCACTTCTGGAGAGGGCTGCTGCTTTAAGTTAGGCTGGACTTGATTGGGACAAAGGAGGTCCTCCTGCATCACCTTACCGCAATGTGGCCTCAGAGGAGGAGCAAGGAGCTGTCAAGGAAAGCAACATCCCTCCCCTGCTGGGGGCCAGGCCCTCAGAATCTTAAGGCCAACCTTCCCTTGCCTTCAAAAGAAAAGGCATTCAGCATTCACAGATTCACCAGCCTTTAAGAGGCCTCCATTCTTGCATTGTGTACACATTGAAACAGAATTCTATGCCAGTTTCCCACACGGAGATTTTGCAAGGGCTCTTTCCCATGTTCTGTGTAAATGCTGCAGCCTGACCAACATCTACTCAGTCTGACAAATAAAGTGTCAGAAAAAGCAGGCTCAACACAAAGTCTTAATGCCAAAGATAGAACACCCTCTCTGGTGTGCTGCAAGTCATATTCTTCCCTACTGTGAACAGCCATTCCTTTCAGGACTGTGTGATACCCCTTTCTCAGGTGGTGTTTAAGACTGCACTAAACTTCCTACATCCTTAAAATAATTAGGAAGCGTAAAGAGAGGTGTGCAATTCAGGAAAACTTTTATAGCACTATTTTTCATGCTGAAAGCTGAAATGATTCTTCTCACTCCATTTTCAATGAAGACATCATTACACTTTGGAAAAGAGCAATGCAGGTTGCTTAATGGCCAATGCATGCCTTGCTTAAACCTGTCTGCTATATTCTCACAACTACAAACTACCTTAAACATCAACAGTTCAACTGGGAAAGAAAAATGGTGGACTGGAGAGGTGAAGTCACTATAGGATTCCAACACAATTCCTCCCCTGCAGGGAATGAGGGAAGGGGACTGAATTTCTACCCTATTTTTCAGTTCCCACACTCCTTTGAGAGGAACAATGAAAAAGGAAGAGAAGCAGAGTGGAGCTAATGTTTCTGGCAGGTTCTTGTGCTACACCTTTTATTTTCATTTTTGCACAGATTTAGGGTAGAAGAAACGAAAGTGGTCCCATTTTATCCTCCCAACAGTAAGGGTGAGAGACTTGGCCAAGGCCATAAAGCAAAGAACACTTCCTTCAACCCTGAGTATTAGTCTAGCTATCAACCAGTCCCAAATATATGGTGGTGGATTTTTTTTTAACAATGTCCTCAAGAGAATGGTTGCCACGCAACATCAGGCATTCTTGGGTAATGCCGATTGTCTAGATTAATTTCAATTGGGTTTCTTCAATTGGGAAACCCAGCCAGATGGGCAGCTGAGGAAGGAATTAAGAGTACCATGCTTCACAAGTTCCACAGTACTAGTTTTGATGGCTCTTTTTCAACCACTACAACCTCAAACCACCATGGATCTCAAAGGGTTCACAATAATAAAACAAAATTTACAGATTTGTCTCTGGAAGTAAAAATGCATCATCATCAAGTTATTTCCCTCAACCAGAACATTGAACCTAGCTCAGAACCCTACTTTTGAGTGTTTAACGTAACATAACAGTATGCTGGAGGATTCAGCTCTCGACCAGCATTCTCTGAAAACCTGTGTATGTCCTGAAACATTATCCATACATACCCGGTCAAAAGGGATGCCGTATTTCTTCAAGATAGATGGTGAAATGAGGGTCATCTTGTGGCGGAGGAAGGCGTCGCACCCTTGAGAGCTCCCAGGGAAAAATCCTGCAGGAGGATTCAGGAGAGAAACTATTACCATCACTGACCCTCAGGCCCCCTTCCAACTCTACAATTCTTTGAGTCTATGATTTTGTATCCCAAGGGAATCCCCTCTGACCACCTAGAGGAAGTGCCAACAGCTGCATACTTGTTACTTATCCAGGCATCATTTTTCTCATGTATGTATAAAAGCTCTAAGAGGGGAGGGAGGCAGCACCATCATAAACCCTCAAAGTTCAAACTAGGCAAGTAAGATGCACAAGGACCGCCTCTCTCCATATGAACCTACCTGGACTCTGAGATCATATCCTGAAGCCCTTCGCTGTGTGCCTCCTCAAAGTCCATGAGAGGTCCAGTGGGTGGCAACACAAGAACAGGCCTTTTCTGCAGTGTTTCCCTGTTTCTGGAATGCTCTCCCCAGGAAAGTTCAGCTCACACCTTCATTATACACCTTTAAGTGTCAGGCAAAAATGTTCCTGTTTACCCCTGTGTTGTGGACAGGGGGGGATTATTGGGTTGTTTGGGTTTTTATTATGTATTTTGTGTCTTTTATACTGTGAATTTATGTTGTGAACTGCCCTGAGATCTATGGGTATAGGGTGGAATACAATAATAATAAATAAATAAATAAATAAATAAATAATGAAAAGTAGTAATGTGTAATAGGGAGCTCCCTGCCCCACCCACCCACAAACTCAAATAAATATGTTTTGAACATGCTCAGACTAACTATGACCAGATGAAGATAAATCAGCAGGCAGAGCCGCTAGGTTTGTGCAAGCAGGAAAGTGGAGAAAGGTGGAAACATGGTAGTTTTGCTTGGTAATCTCTGGAGGGAAGCAAAACCTACTGGAAGCAGAAGCTGCACTTTCAGCCTAATCCACACAAACAGCAGGTGGTGTCAAAACTGTTTCTCTGAAGGTATGCAGACTGCAGGTGATGGATCACAGAGCTAAGTTTCCCTGTGAAAAATACTCTCTACTAGGCTCAAAACCAGCTCAAACTATTTTTTTCTCCCATGCTAGTTTTCTACACATGATTGTGTGTCTAATCTCTCAGCTGCCGTCCAAAAACAGTTTTATCACCTTATCCTCTGGGTTGGAATTTGCTCACTGTAGACCTACTGAAATTAATGGATTAAACAAAATAAAAAAATTCCTTCCAGTAGCACCTTAGAGACCAACTAAGTTTGTTATTGGTATGAGCTTTCGTGTACAAGCACACTTCTTCAGATACCAATGGATTAAAGTTACTAGTATGACTAACATTGGATACCACTGTGTGTGTGTGAGTATAATAAATACTGAATAGTTTTGCTGGTAGAGCATGAGACTCTTAATCTCAAGGTTGCGGGTATGAGCCCCACAACGAGCAAAAAGATTCCTGCATTGCATAGATTCCTATGAGAAACCATCATGGCAAGAGTGTGTGCATCCCTTCAAAATGGAATGGAAAGGAGCTGCAATGGATAAAAATTCTGTTGTCCGTTATGTGTGGGGCAGCAATATGAGATTATATTACACCCATCCTCAACACACAGCACTGGCTGTTACTGAGCTATCAGGCACAATTCAAGATGCTGGCACTATAGTACAAAGCCATAAATGGCTCAGGAACACCTTTTTTATTTATTTAACAGAATTTGCATACTGCAGAAGTATAAAAGGCTTCTAAGCGTGTGTGTGTTTTTAACCCATTACCAACCAACCTTGGGAAAACATCACCACCAGAGGCAGGGCCTTCTTGGCGGCAAAACCCCATTTAATATGACACTTACTGAACCACATCAACTGCAATTGCAACAGTTGAGCTTTAGATGGTATCTTATGAAGCAACTTGTATGTGTTACTTTAGGCTGTAGAGTACCCAAGTTAATATGCTATCATCATCCTGAAGGTTACATTTCTCCACAACTCTATCCGCCTCCTCCTCAGCAGGCCTTTACACATTTCTTGGTTAGCACTAAGAAGAATGTTCTCCAGTGGGGGTTTGTGCTCCCTCGAAATCAGAAGGAAATATCCTATGCAAGCTCTTAGTATTCCACAAAAAACTCATGCCGTTATGAAGCATGTTACATGAATGCACCCGAAGCATGAAGAAAAAATGCTGAGTCTCAGAAAACTACCACAGGTATAAGGTATTTGTTCTTTTAAACGACCCTTCAGCGCTCAAGATTTCTATAGCAGCTGGCAGAATCCGGTGCACGTGCTTGCAAAGGTTCGGATATATCCCAGAAACCATCTTTCTGAATAGCCCTGCAGCAAACTAGTATTCCAGACTGAATAAGCACTGAATGGGCCATTTTGTGTGAAATCCTCCAAAGTGGTTACTGAATTCTGAAAGCTCCCCTTTGCTTGTATCATCAAGACCACTCTTCCAATCACAAGGTCATGTGCAACCATTATGTAGATCAGGTTAAGAGTGCAGCTTTGTTTCTACATCTATAATCAGAAATATTGACCTGATATTTTGCTGAGGAACAGTGAGTATAGTTGAATTCCACTGCACCCAAACCAGTCCTCCTTTAATCTGAAGTGCCGGCAACAGAATCCAAGGGACATCACCCATTTTGAGAACAGCATAATCTGGTAGAAATGTAACCGTCCCACACAACTAAGGCATGGCCAACATTTTGTTCCTTTCTGTATGCCTTGTGTCAATGCCACACATCTCACACCATGAGCTTCATCAGCTTTAGTATCTTGATCTGCAAACACCTATATTGCCATACAATGTATTTTTACCCACTTAAAAGAGTTTTAACAAATTGGCTCTCGTTGTCAAAAGCAACATGTGCAGTGGCGATTTTCAGGAGTTGTGAACAGTACCCTCATTGCTACATGTCAATTTCTATTTTCGGTTTTTCAAACTATGTTGCAGCAGACAATGACCTTGTAGGCCTCCAACTTCAATGATCTTTCTATTTCCAACCCTGCTATTATAGCTAACCCAAGCTGAGAATGCCTTGCTGGCTTCATTCTTCTATTAGTGGCAGCATAAAACACATCCTGAGAGAATAATTTAATCTCCCTTTTCGTGTCCTCATTTTTTCCTCTCCTTGGTTCAAGCTCTGGAGTGTAAAGAATGGCTTCAGTTTAAGTCTGGAGCACCTTCCTCTCCTTCTAAATAACATGCTTCAGAGGCAGAGTGTCTGGAATAGGGCATTTGTCACATCAGCACTGAATAACCCCTTGTTCAGAAGAAAAGCTGTATCCTTTACACAAATGCTCAATTCAATTATTGCTCCTCTCATAACACTTTGTCGATCCAGATGGAACCCTTACATTAGCAAGTACTATGTGGAGACTCCACATCCTGCTATCCACATCACTTCTATCAACATGCCAAGGTTTTCACCTATAGGTACTACCGATTTAAAAGTTCCTGCTGTGCCTGCATGTTTAAGTCCTTTCATTGTCTGTAACCAGTTGTGTAGGGCCTGAATGTCCTCTGGCAGAAACGCTACACTTTCCTGAAGGAGACACTCATCTATTAAAGTACAAAATGGCACCACATGTGGATGAGTGTACATGCCTCGTTCTGATACCACAATATCTTCTGCTGGCTCTTCTGATTGCATTTGGAATTCAAAAAATATACAATAATAAACCTCCTTTGCCCCTATGCCATGGATTCCAGTAGCAATGGCTTCAACCTTAGGCAGCTAGTGATGACCTTTAAAGCTCTAAATAGCATGGGGTCAGATTATTTGACAGACCACCAGCATCTCTATCTGCCTGCCCATGCCTCTGAAGCCCTACTGAGGTGTACACCTATCAAGGTGAGACTGGGGAGCACATGGATGACAGCACTATTGGCAGTGGCTCCACAATTAGGGAATACAATTCTTCAGGACATAAGCCAGACACCATTCATCGTGGGCTATAAAATGCTTTAAATATGCAATGTAGCCTTTAGTAAACAAATGGGGATGCAGTATTATTATTTTGGTCTGGTTTGGATAATTTTTGTACCTTCCTGGCCATAAAGTCAGCTTTTAATACTGCATGTAATATCATTTTGTTGTCTTAAAGGTAAAGGTAAAGGTACCCCTCACCGCTAGGTCTAGTCACGAACGACTCTGGGGTTGTGGCACTCATCTCGCTTTACTGGCCAAGGGAGCCAGTGTACAGCTTCTGGGTCATGTGGCCAGCGTGACTAAGCCACTTCTGGTGAACCAGAGCAGCGCACGGAAATGCCGTTTACCTTCTCGCCGGAGCGGTACCTATTTATCTACTTGCACCTGACGTGCTTTCGAACTGCTAGGTGGGCAGGAACTGGGACCGAACAACGGGAGCTCACCTCGTCGCGGGGATTCGAACTGCGGACCTTCTGATTGGCAAGCCCTAGGCTCTGTGGTTTAGACCACAGCGCCACCTGCTTACAAACACTAGTTATCTTACAAGGTTTTAAATTTGTATTTTATTGTAAGTATTGTACTGTATGACATGCAATTATAAAAACATTTATTCAATCAACTAACCATGGCTAGAAGAATCCAGTTCTCCAAGCTAGGAACCTTGGAAGTTGCCTGGTACAGAGTCAGACCATTGGGTCCATCTAGCTCAGTATCATTCAGATTGGCTGGTAATGGTTCTCAAGGGTTTCATGTAGGGTCTCTACCAACCTTACCTTGAGATGAAACTGAAACCTTCTGCATGCAAAATAAATTATCTACTAGAGGATTTCAATCTCCTTTACATGTGTGCAGAAGGAGAAGGGAGGGGAAGGAAGTGTGCTAGCCAAAGGCTTCTCCAGACCCATTCCCATAACCGGGCCATAAGTTAATTTAGGAAGATGATAAATTTTGTTTTCGAACAGTAATTTGTTTGGTTACATGTGCAAAAGCAAATCTGGGAACTCACCTGAAGCATGGATGCAACATTTGTGCTGGGAGGATAAACTAGTTTGAAAAATGAGGCAAACCACAGAAGATACAGCCACAGAGAGCAATCTTGTCTGTTTTCTATCACTGTGACCAAATATGTTAATGCCTATAAGAACTGGCCCCTGTCTTCACTGCACATGTCTCTGTAGGAGAGTACTGTTAAGAGTTTGTTGCGAAATTTGGAAAATAAGGACCTTATCTCAAAGGCAACACCATTGTGGGTTCTGGCTCCAGCACATGCTGCACAACTGAATTCTGCTGGGATAATGTGGAAGCAGACTTGGAAAATTCTCCAAGGGCACCTGGCATTTGCTTCTGGCACCCAGGAATTTACATTTTCTCATTATTGCACAGGGCAGATGCTAGTGTCAATGTGCTGCTGGCTTCAGAATGGCATCTGGGAGTGTAAGATATTTTTCTACCCTTGGATTGATCCAAAGGAGATTCTGACAGTAAGAGGCGTTCGACATTGGAACGGTCTCCCTTGGAAGGTTGTGGACTCTCTTTCCTTGAAGGGCTTTAAGCAGAGATTGGGTGGTTATCTGTTATGGATGAGATTCCTGCGTTGAAGGAGGTTGAACTGGATGACCCTTGCAGTCCTTTTCAACTCTACAATTCTCTGATTTTATGATCCTGGTCATGACTCATGGCACTGAAGTAACTCACTCTCTAGCCTTGGGATTTTGCATCAGTCAATGCTTCCACTATATGCTGCTGATTAAACAGGTCCCAGTGGGCAGGCAGGGGGAGAATGCTGGGAGTGGAGGTAGGGAAGAGGAGGAAACATACAGGGAGCAAAATATAATTCCAACACTTGAACAACAAAACACTAATTGATGCTACATAATGGAGGAGGGTTTTAAAAGTGCAAAGAATTACTGGCTTCTGGCAACTCCCCCCCCCCATACTAAAAGCATTTCAATTAGAATTATGAGTGCCTGCCACCCAGTTCATCGTCCTTCTCTGCAGTTCCTCTTTTTAATGCACAGTTTAAGTGGCTCTCATTAAAGCTACTAATAAAGGAGCACATTTTAAGTGATTAGCACCAATAACGTGGCAACACATTAATGGTCCCTCCATGGGCTCTGCAACTCTCCCAGCGAGCCCATTTATAGCTCAGCTATTCATTTTCCATATTAATTGCAAGCTCATTCCATGCGCTGAACATCTTTGGAACAGTGATGCACTGGAAAGCAGGGCGTTACTGCTGATGGTTGCTCTTCACCGCGAATGCTGACCCCACCTCCTCCTAAACCACAAATGCTATAGGGGAGTTTGTTTAAGACCAGAATATGCAAGTCTAGAGGGTAAACAGACTACTGATATGATAAACCCATAAACTCCTAGAAATCTGGTACTAGAGATTAAGGAAATAAATGTCATCTCATTTCTGCTGAGGCCTGGCTCTTAGAAACTGAAAAGTTCTTCTCTAACTCTAGCAGAGGGGAACAGCTACAGTGGTACCTCGGGTTACAGACGCTTCAGGTGG